TTAGCGAGAACTTCCTTGAAGATGGGCTCCACCACAAGTCCAAAAGCTTGGAAGACAAAACCTCTGGTCCCAGTGACCAACCCAGATTGGATCCTGCAAAATTGACAGTACTTAAGTTTAAAGTACTATCCACCTCTACATTGAAATGATTTATATACCGGTTCACAAAATCAGTAGTGAATACAGGCCCCCCAAAATGGAATTAAAGGAATACATAGTACATAGTTTAGTGGTTTAGTAAATGAAATATAAACTATGAGTAACACTCCCTAAATAATGAAGAAAACTATTGTTTACTTTTCAGATATTTATGAAACAGCATGTGAGTTATCTTAAGAACTAAGGAAAAGTCTTTCAAATGCTAATGAGAATTATTGTGCAATGTTCTACTTATATCAGTGCTAGCAAAAAATACCATACACTAGTTTTGGGGGGGGGGGGAATCTTATAATACTGGATGAACTCAATTGTTACAATGTACTAAGCAATCTTTAATTTCTCCAAAAATCTTATCTGGGCATGATCACAGAGATCACACAGACATATTTTTTACTGTAGTATTATCAGCCACACTGTGTGGAACAGCCTGCAATGATAAGTATAGGAGTATAAACCTTCTGGAGAGTATCATCTCAGGTGAAATATTACATCCCAGCACATCACAACTGTACTTCAAGACCTGCCATATTAGTTGTCAATAGGTTTCCAGATATAGTCCAAAGTATTGGCATTAACCAATCATTTTGTTTATGTCTTAGTGCCCCAATGCCTTCAGGATCATTTTCACATCTAGTTTTTCCTGGGGACCTGTTTACCCACTTCTCATGAGATAAAGGGAATAGAGGCTGAAAGGTTTTGTTTTCCAGTTACTATTTAAGCTTTTTGGAATAGTACCCTTGGAATTAAGGCTTGCACCAAATCTCTTAATGTTTTGGGACCAACTTAAGATGAAAGTCTTTCATGAAGCATTTGATACTATTCAGAACCACAGAGATGGCCCTGGTGAAGGAAGGTGGTAGCAGTTAGCAAACATGAATTAAGAGGGAGAGGATGCAAGATGCTGTCAGTTTTTCAAGATTCTGTTATTATAGCTTATATTAGTAAACTAAAATTCCAGTATTTCTGGTGGAGTATCTTTTTTGACCTGCCTCAAAGACTGACATCAATCCTGAAAGCCTGACAGCATTTTCCCCCTCCCTCTTGTACCAAAGAAAACCAAGACAGGTTCACACTAAGTTTTTTTCTAATACTCATTTCCCTTCCAAGGTTTAATTCATGTTTTGCTAATTGTTGCTTTAGTATTGTTATTTCTACATTTTTCATCTTTTCCCATTGTTGTAAGCTGCCCAGAGTAGCCCCACAATGAGATGGGTGGCAAATAAATTTAATGAACTAATAAATAATTATGGTTGGTCACAAAGTCAGCCAGCTAGACTTTTTATCCACCCATTGATTCATTCCTATGGATCTGGGATAGGCAGATGTTGTTTGATGATATTGTCACAGGATGTAAACTGTTCTAAGAAAAGTTGCCTTTTGCAATTGACTGATGGTGATTTTTGTCAATGCTGATGATGTTCACCTGGTGTTCCAGTTGATTTCTGATTACACCCAACATGCCTATTACTATTATCTTTGCTTTTTTTGCCACTGTTGTTCTACTTCTATTTGCATGGCTTTGTATTTTGGATTTTTGTCTTTCTCCAAGTACAACAACTTCTTTCTTATAGGCAATTAAGTCTGGGTGTTATGTAGCAGGTGTTTGTCTGTTTGAATTCTAAAGAGCCAAAGCACTTTACTTTCTTGATTGTGGTCCACCAGATATTTCTTAGACATTCTGATGTCTCACTGTTGCTACTTTGTTATGCTATTATTTGCCCAAGTCTGTGTCATCTTCTTGCAGTAGCTAACTAAGTGCTCCACTGTTTGTTCAGCTTCATAATTTATTATGGTTCACCGTACAGCCAGCCAGACTGGATTTGGCATTTTAATCCTCCTATCAAGTCCCTCCCAAGGACCTGGGATAGGCAGGTGTTGCTTGATGGTCTTTTATACTGTTCATAATATCAATTGAGGATATTTTAATTGAGCACCTGTTTTTATCAGAGTGCTATAAATTCTTATGAGTCTGTATTGGTTTGGTAATATGCAAACAGAATAGGTAAATAAAATGTTAAGCAAAGTAAGTCTTACATAAGTGTATTTGAACAAGTAGCCACTGCATGAAGCCACAGAAAACTCTGGCACAAAGATTTGCAGGTAATGAAGTAATTAAGCAATTAAGAATAAGCCTAGTTAAATTCAACAGCACTGACTGCTGAACTGATATCCATGTAACACAGTACTACTAGGTGCAAACTGAATGATTATAAAAGACAGAATGCCAATAGATTTAATAAGATGTCCACATGATTCAAAGAATTGCAGTAGAGGCAGGAAATATAAATAAATAACATGGAAAGTAGTAAACAAGATAAGAATGCCCAGATAAAATTATGATTTCAGGAAATATTGCTGAAAACATTTGGGAGCAATACATACAGGAAACAGACAGTAGTTGGCTCCCCATATAACACTAGGTCTTTGCCCTTTTAAACCAGGGTTTGTTGGAAAACTCATTTTACATATAACACCAAGCTGTAAACTTTTAGAACTTCCACAGAACACATTGATATTAACACCACATACAAATAAACTACATAACTGTATGTAAATTGGCAGGTATGTAAATCTCCCTACTTCCGATATATAAATCACGACTGAGGCTGGTCTAGATTTGGAAATCAATTTATTCAAAAGGAAAGAAAGGTCAATATCAATATCAATGTTAGTACTGCTGCATATGAGAGAAAATGAAAGATGCAGAAAAAAAAGTGACACTGGAATTCCCAGCAATGGAAATTCAAATACCAATCACCCTTTGTACCCTCTAACAAAACATGAAGTGTGTAGTTTCATTTTTTGCATTAGTTCTAATGCAATGTTAAACAAATTTACATTGCATTCAAATTAAATATAAACTAACATCACAGTCAAAAATTAAGTATTTATGAAAAGCGCTGTTTCTGATTTGCTGAATATCTGATATAATCAGTTCAGAAAATCCTCAACAGATCTGGATGAACAGGTGATATAAAAATGAAAACCTTTTCTATTTAATATTTAAAGAGGACATAAATACTGCAGGAGAGCTCTTGGTCTTTTGTGCTATGTAGATAAAAAGCTTCAAATTAATAAACAATCTAATCTGCTACGTTTTACTGTAATATGGATTTCTGTACGCACATGTTTTCATAATATTTCAACATAAAGCGCACAATGTAAATGTTTTCAAAGAGTAAAATTCTACTTACACTTGGCACAGAAAGTAAACATTCAGAAGCAGTATAAGAAAGTTTTTCTTCAAAACAAGCAGTCAAAAGACACCTATCACAAATCACTAAGTGCGTTCTTCTGATTCACTCTGGAAGCAGAGTGCAACTCCATGGTATAGTGTGCAATAACTATCACTATTACTGTAATGTATTTCATGAACAGCAGTTTCTCTTAATGCATCCTTTCACAGTTAAATATAACCTGTCAGAATAAGCTGATATATCAATGGCCCTTTAAATATAGGGTTACTTTTCTGAGAATTTGAGAGACTACATCATTTTAATAGATTAACAGTTAAGATTGTTATTTTAAAATTTCAGTTGGAATCATGCTTCTTGCTATGTCACAAAGCACACTGGCACAGCATGAGACATAATGTAACATTAACCATGGGCATTCACTGGACAACAAAACAAACTACTGGTGGTCAAGGTTTCTTCTATTTGAGCTAGCTGGAGTATCAATGTTTGTTCATTAAAAAAAAATGCTCACCTAGGTAAAGATTGGTGTTTCTGCACAGAGGATGGATGAAGGGGTGAATGATTATTTTTAATTCAAGCCTCCCTTCTAATATCTCTCCTTACACACCCAATTGGTATGAATTAAAGAAGATACACAGAAATAAATAATTCCTGCTTAGGTTTAGTGTGAGAGCTACAAAATCTGGATTGCAAAAATCAAAACGACCACTGCCATTTAATGTTTAGTATTTTCTGTATCTTTTTCATTCAGATTTTTACAGCTCAGATCTAATAGCCCAGCCTGTGGCTAACTAGTTCAACAAACCAAAAGCTTTATACACGCGAAGCCAACATTTAGGTCCAATACTCCGTGCAATCGGCCACAATCCAAGTCTCTGCAGTTTTCCACTTATTTCAAACGAATTAAGTGTACTTAACTCTCAGAGTTGGATTCCGTCCACTGACGTTAGTATCCCATCCCCAAAGACCTTTATGGGATTTAACTTCCAATTACATTGCTCGGGAGCTCAGTCCTAATCTTTTACACCCCCGCAATGGGCGTGCACGTGTGAGCACACACCCACCCACGCACACCCACGGTTGAACTTGTCTGGATTAGGAAGAAGGTAATACACTTGTGCTAAGAAAACTCAGCAAGGATGAAGTGGGGTTTTACGGTTCTTAATAAAGTATCAGGACTTTAAGCTGCGGTATTTGCCAACGGCAATTGCTCGATACGGACTCCAAAGGAGCTCGCGGTCCCGTCGAAGAGCAGCTGAAGGATCTTCTCCCGGGCGTCGCGCACCGACGGCACCAGCGCCTGGGCGACAGAACTGACCCTCCCCCGCATTACTCCACGGGCTGAAAGCTCCGGCGTTTCTCCCCCCCCCCGGCCCATTCATAATTTGGTCACGTGCCCCCTCTCTCCCCAATGGGCTCTTCTCCCCAGAAGGACTAGCGGCCGGGAGCTGGAGTTTGGCCAGCGTTCAAGCCGAGGGAGGGAGGGAGGGAGGGACCACTGGTGGCGCCTCACTGGGGGGAAAAGAGCGGGGAAGACCCGCCCGGCTTCTCGCCCCCTTTTTCTTCCATCGCTCCCGAGCGCAGCCAAAACCGCTCGTCAAGCGGCATTCCTGGGCTGCTCCTGCCCCCGCGGGTTCGACTTACCGCCGTCCAGTCTGACGACCTGGGGCAAGCGGTAAGTGCTAACCAGAAGGTCCAAAGGGATGGACACGGAGCTCCATTTCACATCCTTCAGACCGAAGCCCGGCGAAGGAGCCGCATCCATCTTCCCGCCCTTCTTTCGGTCGGAAGAGTCGAGCGGCGGCGGCGGCGGCGGAGTCTTTTAACGGGGTTGTCGGGGGGGGGGGGGGGGGGGGGAGCTGCACTCTTCCTTCAGCCTCTAGTGCTGCCGCCGTCGCCTTCCCGGGCCATCCTGGACTTGGCGCAACGGCAAGGTGACTTGCCACCGACCGCTGCTGCTCCGCCAGCCGCGGCGTGCGTTGCAAAGGCGGCTGCTGTCGCTCCCGCTGACTCCTTCGCGGATAGCTCCAGTTGACCCAGTAAACGCCATCCCAGCACAGGGGACTGACTAATCAAGAAGGTGCGAGAGACGCCTGCGCAATTCGCGCTCCTCCTCTTCTCCACTCCCAGGAAAAGTGAGGCCCTGGCGTTCCCTCCTTCTCGGATCAACCGGGAAAGGGAGAGGGGGTGGGGGTGGGTAGAGAAGAAGAGACGGGCAACCCGCCCGCCGCTAATTCTGGCCCTCTTGCTCCCTCTGCCGGCCGCTGAAAAGGCCTGCAGTTTGGCTGCCCGAGTTCAGGATTGGAATCGGTTCAAATATATATATAGCTTGTGCCGATCATAAGCCTGATCAATACTTTTCTGGACGCTGTGTTTCTGTTCTGCTGCCGGCTCATTTGGGCGTTAAATCCCATTGAACTCCTTGAAGTTCACACAATACATTGAAACCATGCTTAATGTGGTTTTTCAAATTAAACCAATTGTGGCTGCCTTACACAAAAGGTACCTGCAGGTGCTTGCTCAACCTGCTTGTGATCTTGACCCGAGTTTGCTGTTATAGGGCAAACCATCAAGGACAATCTTTGCTTATTCTATCAGAAGGATCAAAAACATGTAAAGATGTGGAGTGGGACACAAGGACTGCAATTAGAGAAGAAGCTGGTCCAGTACATGTTATGTGAACTATTCACAATGTGAACCGTATGAGCGCAGCTGATCCGAAACACACACAACCTGGCATGACATTCAGCCTTATGTACCCTAGCTACTTGCTGAGAAAGTTAATGGTGATCAGCACCAGGGAAACCAAGGTTCAAACCTACCTTCACCTATAGAAATTGGCTGTGCAACTTTGCATCAGTCATTCTTAGGTCTTCCTGGTTGATAGGACTGCTCAACCTTCTGCTGTGATGGGAGGAGGAAATTGGAGCCCAAGAACACATAGCATATTTTTCACACTATAAGACCATAAGTGGGTGTGTCTGTGTGCGTCTCACAGAGCAAATGTTGCCAAAGCCCCGCCCACCTGCCAGCCTCCACCCTTTGGCCATTTTGTGCCGCCACATGCCATTTTCGGCCTGTTCCAGGCGGCAGGGGCTGCTGCCTATCACCGCTGCTGCCACCGCTGCCAATCACCACTGCCTGGAACAGGCCGAAAACAGGATGCATGGAGGCCAAAAATGGGATATGTGGAGGCCGAAAATGGGTCATGTGGAGACTGAAAATGAGGCGTGTGGAGGCAGCAATAGGTGGCGGCAATCCCCGCAGCCTGGAACAGGTGATTAGCAGTATTCCAGAGGCCGATCCAACCGCCAGTCCATGCTAAATCAAGCTGTTTCTAAATCCAACTGCCCATGCTAAATCAAGCTGTTTTGAAACTGACCAGGCTGTTTGCTGTTTGCTACAAGGAGGCAAATTGCTGGGAGGCAGAGGCAGATTTTTTTTCTTGTTTTTCTCCCCAAAAGTTAGCTGCATCTTATAGTCTTATAGGAGTGTCTTATAGTGCAAAAAATATGGTATGTACATCACCTTGAGCTGCTGGAATATTAGTCACATATGCTGGTCTATAACCAGAATAAAAATTGAAGTCCTGCATACTGTGCATTTTGTTTTTGAGTTCAGCCCCATTGGCTAGGATCCTCTGCCAGAGAGTTGTGGCAACAACAAGGAGGAAGGCAGTAACACGCTGCCTTGTTTCCAGCAAGTGCTTCTGCATTCCAGCCAGAGCCCAGCCCTGTTGCCACCCAGTCTTACCATCTATACCTGCTCCATTCTAGTCTCTGAGAGGCAGACATGACATTCCGCATCAGCATTGGGACAAGATGAAATGATATAGAACAACAGCTAATATAAGAGAGGATTAAATCTCTCTCCTTTCCTACAAGGGAAGTCCCAATAAAAGCAGTATGTATATTTTTAAAAAGTGGGCAAAAAGCAGCTTTCAGCTGGTGAATTGGGTAGATGAGCTAAGCTATACACAAAAGTTAAAAATACAACTAAAAAAGAAAGCCCTAAATATTTCTCATAACAAGTGTTTGGTACTCCACAATCTTGCAGAGTTTAAGGTAACTATTCCAGTTTTGCAAATGTGGTAAAATAAAGGCAGTAAATGTTACCAAAGGAATGAAACAAAATGATAATTGTTCAATATGTTACAAATTATTGTGTTAGAACAATGTTCCTTTGAATTAAGCAATATTATGGCTTTGTTAAAGATTAAGAAGATATGTACCAGGTAGAACTAGCAAGAAAATATTATAATCCTGGATAATCTCTTCAGAGTAGTACCCTTACGAGATATGCAAATTAAAACAAACTTTCTTTAGAATACATATCCATGTTTAATTAGAAAACTTACTTGGTTTTAATTCTGATTACTACATATGCTATGTTTAAAGTAGTGTTCTATTGCAAATAAGTACATTTTAATGTAGTAATGAGAATTATAAGATTCAAAAGCTAGGGTTGCTATTTTTAGATTACAAAAATCCAGCTAATCACATGATGGCAGAGCCTTTAGAAAGAACTAATACTTAACTGTTAAAATGGACATCTAGATTTTTTATAACTAATATATGATAGTCCTGTTTTTAAAATTATTACAGACACCTTTCTGTGGTTTCTTAAACCAAATGCATTTTTACCTCAGAATCACATGGCAGTAGTGGAGGGCAACCATCTAATCTCAGAAAAAAGCATGGTTACTTTGAGAAGTTGCAGACAAGTGTCACATTCATGTCATGGTACTTTTGTGTTTAGTTCTAAAGCACAGAGTCCATATTATAGACCATTAAATTTAAATATAGAACATTTTAATTGAAGATAGAATTGAGTCTCTGCAGTTTATAAATTCATGTGTAACTTAGGGACATTTTTGGTTAAAACTATTGCTTTGGGACTTCCGGTTTGAGCTTCTTCGGTGACAGACTGAAATATGCAATCATGTAGTTTCAATCTGTGCTCACCGCTGGAGCACTCTGAGCTGGCTGGTTTTGGGGCTAAACCACCCCGTAGAGGTGGTAAAGAGGGGGGAGACTGCCAGCAGAGTTGAGGAGAGCCGCATCTCTCCTCCCCAGGTTGCCTTACTCCCTTTCCCGAAGGCAGTTGCAGCAGTGGTCAGAAATGGTCACCACAAAAAACTTGAGTGGAAAAGAATGTGCAGGAGGACGATAAGAAGAGAAAGTTTTGGCTGATCAGGTCAAATGGGAAAAACAACAATACAAGGTACCCTGGAATTTGAATTATAAAGAACAGCATTGTTCCCAAAGAAGACTTTGAAGCGGTGAATGAGAGAGGGAAGGGAAAGGATTTGGTTTTTTTTCTTCTTCTTCCCTATATTGACAACTAAGAGATTTAAACAAGAAACCAGCAAAAATCCACTTTGACATTAACAGGTATTTAAGCTGAAAATAAAATGTCAAAGGGATAATAAAAATTTCTGGATTCTCAAAAACTTTTAAAAGAAGGAAAAAAACAAAAGGGTGGGATCTGGAAAAATGGAGGAGACCACCTGAAGTGAAAGGAATTAACAGTGAAACTTTAATAAGATTCCTAAAAGATACATTTTAACTGAAATTTTGTAACACGATAAGAGAACCCCAGGAAGAAAAAGTGGGAAAAAAAGAAGCAAGAAGAAAAAACTTTGGATTATTTGGATTACTTTGTGATTTTTGGATTTGGGGCTATTGGGACTAAAATTAATCGTGTGGTTGTTTAAAAGCTTTTAAAATGGTATCACTCTTGGAAGAATTCAGAATGGAACTTAAAAAACAGAAAGAAAATGCACAAGAAGGAAGAGGTTCTTTTGGCTTTGTATTTCAATTTTTAGACATAGAGATCCTGAACTATGAGAAACAACAAGAAATGCCTGTAGAACAAGAAGGGCGGGACAAAAAAGAAGCCATATTCAATGACCAAGTATTTCTATGTGGGGAAAAGAAAGGAAAGGGGGAAAGAGAGTGAAAAATTTAAGATCTGAAAAAACAACTCAAAAAAAGAATAGTTTGAAAAGTAATTACAACATTAGGAAGAAACAGAAGAGAGGATTACAGAAGAGAGAATCAGAATTAGAGAGAGAAGGGGTCAAAAAGGGAAGGGACAAGATGGAAAGGAAAAGAAATGATAAAGGACAGAAACAGGACATAGAGAAACAGGGAAAATGTACAATTCACAGAGATAATGGGTGAAAACTTAATTGAAAGGGAGATTCTGCAAGGGTACATAAGATAGTATTGTTATATTAGAAATAGAAATGAACTTTGAAAATATGAAACAAGTGTGATTAAAATGATAGATAAAAATACTCATTATAATGTAATGGAATGTTTAATAAAATGAAATAAAGAGAATGAGAGAATGAAATTAGGAAAGGAGGGGAACATCTTAATTATTATAAATGTGTTATAAAAATTTAAGTGAAGAGGAACATGAAAGAAACATGAAAAATTATGGAAATATTATAAGTGTTCCTAGAAGTATGATATCCTATTGAAAAGAAATGTTAAAGATGTCAAAGATTATAACTAACATTAATGATAGAGCTGAATTGGAATAGAATAAGTATTTTATTTATTATTGTTATATATATATTTTCTCCTTAAGAACTTAGTGCGTATTTTAAGAATGTACCAAGCAGAATTCAACTGGAAGTTATGTGTTATATTGAATGTTATAATTGTAAAGGCATAAATTGAAGTTTAAATAAGAGATGAATGGGTAAAAATTAAAAGATACAAAGGTGTCATACTCCAGTTAGCAACTACAGGGAAAATTTTGTTTAATGAGAAAAGAAAATATGAAATTGAAATAGGACAGACAAAAG